CCCGCGGTCCGCGCCGGGGATACCTCGGGGGGCGAGGCGACGGGGGAAACGGGCGTGACCTGCAGGCCGTCGGACGGAGGCGGGGCGGTCGTCGCGGCCTCGGGCGCCTCTGTCCCCTTGGCGAGGTTCTTCCCGCGGACGCGGGCTAGAATATCGGCCCAGTGCTCGGGCGTGATCTGCTTGTTGGCCATGCTGACCCTGCGCCGGGACTCGAAGGCGCGGCGGCCCTCGGCCACGTTGGTCTCCGGCGGCTCCTTCTCCGAACTCTTCCAGGGCTTCAGCTTCCTGCGGCCTTTCCTGGTTTCGGCGCCTTGGACGGGCGCCTTGGGGTCCTTGGGGTGCGGCACTTTCCTCGCAGCGAAATCGTCCCCGTCGAGGCCGGAGCCGCCCTCGTCCACGACGTCGCCTTGGAGCCTCGACAGGGCCTTCCCGTCGCCGCCGGTGCCGCCTGAGCCCGGGCGCCGGCCTCTTTTCGACGACCTCCCGGGCCCTTTGTGATTCACGGCGACCGCCACGGTGAAGCGGTCGGCCCCTCGCCGGTTGACGGCCACGCAGGTGTAGTAGCCGCTGTCGCTGGGCTGGACGTTGGGGATGGACAGGGTCCCGTCGGGCAGCATGTGGGCCTGGGACGCGTTGGCGAAGTCGCTCACGATCCTCCTGCTGGGGAGAATCCAGCTGAGCTGGGCCTCGGGGACGCCCGTGGCGCGGCAAGGTAACGCCACCGCGTCCCCGGGGTTCTTCCGAACCGTCACAGGGCGCCCGCCCGACGGCGGGGCGTCGGCAGGCTGGACGAGGACCCTGTAGGCCACGCGGTCCGTCTCGTCCCTCACCCGCGCCACGCACTGGTACACGCCCGAGTCCGACGGCTCCGCGGCCTTTATCTTCAGCCACCCGCTGGTGAGGATGGAGAACCTGCCGTCCGCGTCCGTCACGGGCGCTTTTAGGACGGCGCCATCGGGCAGCNGGTGGCGCCCGGCTCGATCATCACCCAGCTGCGCCCGCGAGCCTGCCCCGTGTCGCCGCCCGGGGCCGTCAGGGCGACGCGGGAGGAGTAGGACAGGAGCACCTGCTTGGCGCTGCTCTGGCGCCGGTTGAGCTGCAGCTCTACGGACGGCTGCAGGACCCACGCGGGCTCGGCGCGGACGTGGGCCCGGACGCCCGTGTAGTAGAGGGCGTCCTGGTCCTCGGCGTCCTGCCG